TCTTAACCAAATGAGAACAAGGATATATATGAAAATGAAAGTATAATATTGGAACCATCACCCCCAAGGAAGTTTGTGCTTTTTATATATCATGTTGGAAGAAACAGCTTGGATCTAGGTCAAGTGAGACTTCATGCCACGTCATCAAAAGCTTCCCCAAATTAGTTGAGAGCTTGAGGTCTATGTAGATACGCAGAGGGAAGCTGAAGTACACTTACACAGGTAGCTGTGTGGAGGCCTGTGGCCACCTCATATCCCATAGAACATAAAAGATGGGTGTCTTTGCCTCCTCACATGGGGAGGAGTAAGTAAAGGAGATATAGGGGCTAAAAGCATTAGTCCAGGGCTGTTTTCTCTAGACAGTGGAGTAAAAGTTTTGTCACTCTGAGGGAAGGATAATGAGTTTTCTTCATACCAGGGGTGTTTGGAGAGTCCTACATCTGTCTGAATAAACCTTGCTTGATTCTCCTCTCATTTTTACCCGTTAGTGTTCCCACCTCATTTCCAGCCCTAGTCTCACCATGCACTTGTGGCATAATGGGATGACTCTTTAAGCAGCACCAGGGAGCCAAGTGCTAACGCTATGAGAGAAAGTTTGTTCTCAGCTTCTCTACTAGGACCCCTTTTATGACAGAATGGACATTCTTGCTATAGAAATATTATGTAGGGACCTGGAGCCATTGAGCCCTCTTCCCAGGCTAGAGGCTCTAGTTCTTAGAAAGAACTTCGATGGCGTTAGGTGGATACTCATAACAGCTAACCAGGGAAATCAGCTGGCCTGGAATCTGCCCACAGTGCCTTGGGAAAGGAGGAGTTTCTTCTCTTACTGTTTTGAGACCCCAGTGCTTTAGTGGTTCTACATATTGACTGATGCAATCCTTAAAGACAGAAAGGGCAATCGGGCTCAGTGGCTCACACCTGTAATCCCAGCACATTGAGAGGCCAAGGTGGGTGGATCACTTGAGGTCGGGAGTTTGAGGGCAGCCTGGCCAACATGGTGAAACACCATCTTTACTAAACATACAAAAAATTAGCCAGGCGTGGTGGCAAACACCTGTAATCTCAGCTAATCAGGAGGTTGAGGCAGTTGAATTGCATGAACCTGGGAAGTGTAGTGCAGTGAGCCAAGATCGTGCCATTGCACTCCAGGCTGGGCCACAAAGCGAGACTTTGTCTCAAAGAAAAGAAAAGAAAGAAAGGGCATCAAGGTCTCTGTAACTGTCTCTCCTGGAAGGTCACCCTGGTCTGCTCTTCCCTGCCCCAGCCTCTGCCCTTGCTCCATCTGACTACCAGCTCAAGCTTTTTCTGTCTTAGATTACAACAACCTGAAGGATTCCATCCAGGAAAGTCTTCAGGTGTTGCTCAAGATCCTGGCCATCCAAAAGTCAGGAGACTTAAACAAAATAGCTTTGGAGTGGGTGGCCATCATGCATGACCTGGGTAAGTGCCGGCCTCTAGCTGGGCTGATGGGTGAGACCTGAGGCAGGATGTCCCAGAGGGATGGGTGTGAGAGGTGGAGGTTGGGTGGGAGAAGATATGAAGAACAGAGTGAGGACTTCCTTCAGGGCTGTTTCTTGGAATAAAGGGATCAGGTTTTTATTCACAGAGAAAGTTTTTTCCCCCTCAGGCAAGGTCCCTGAGTCCTGCTGGGCAGAGTATTTTGCTTGGGCTAGTTGGGTACCTGAGAGATCAGGAGTAGGGTGGACTCCCTTGCAGAAGGTAGAACCCTAGTGTTTCCCACCAGCATTTCTCTGGCTGCTTACACAGGTGCCCTGCTGGAGGTGTGGGTGACTTTCCAGCAGAAGTGGATTTTTCTGAATAAAGTTCTGCATGAGATGAAGATTCAGTTTCCTAGTGCTGACCTGGTAGGGAAGGGGGTTGAGGCAGAGAGGGCAAGAAGGGTTCCTGAATAGCAGGGCTTGGGGTGGGAAAGGGGAGCTGCCACTTCATACTGGCCCTCACTTTTATCCTCTCCCTCACCACAGAGCTCTCGTTTCAAGGCCATGGATGATCAGTATCGGACCCTGATGCGCATCTCTGTAGCTGACCCCATGGTTCTGTCACTTGTAGTACCCAATGCCAAGAGGAGCCCTTACTTCCAAGGCCAGCAGCTGCAACAACTGCTGCAAGCAGGATCGGTGGAGCTGGAGGGCATCATCATGACTCTGGAGAGCGTGCTCTATGGGGTGTGTGCTCACTTCCCCCGCCTCTTCTTCCTTAGTGACAGTGAGCTGGTAGCCCTGCTGGCTGCCCGACTGGAATCCTGCGAAGCCCAGCGATGGGTACGACGCTGCTTTCCTCATGTGCATGCTTTGAGCTTCAAGTCTCACCCAACTGGTGAGAAAAACAGGGATGACTGGGAGTCAAGCCCAAACACACAGACTCAGGTGGAGGCACTTGCAGTGCTAGGGGTGGGTGGGGAGGAGGTGAAGCTGCAGAGTCCCCTTCCTCTGTATCCAGACCTCCCTAAGTGGCTGGCCTCTCTGGAGAAGTGTCTGCGCTTGGCACTGGTGCACATGTTGCAGGGCTGTGTAGCTGCTCACCTCACTCAAGGCCCATCTCTAGCTGAGGCCCTCAAGCAGCTGCCTAAGCAAAACCAGTTGTACCTGCAACTGCATGTCCAGCACTGGATCGATTTAGTCCAGGCCTTCCCATGGCAGTGTGTACTGGTGGCGGAGGAGGTGGTATGGCGGGCCGAGATGGAGGAAGCTCTGCTTGAGTGGGGTACGCTGGCCATGGTCTCCATGCATATGCGCAAGCTTGAGGTACTGGTGAATTTTTTGCGGGCCCAGAGGGCTTCCCAAGGTAAGCAGCCCCTGCCTTCTGTCCGCCAGACCAGCCTGCTCAGTGCCCTGCTGGTCATGGCAGTGACCCACCGGGATATAGCACAGCTGCTGGAACAGCACAAGGTCAGTGACCTCACAGACTTCCACTGGGTCCGCCAACTCAAATATCACTTGGGTTCACCTCACATAATCCCCAAAAGCCCCATACAGAGTCTTAAGATGACTGCATCTGCTGAACCCTCTCAGTCACCAGCAGCATGCTGGATAGATGTGCTAGGCAGGTCCTTCCTGTACAATTATGAGTACCTGGGACCTAGACTTGGGCCTCTACCCAGCCTGCTGCCCGAACGGCCAGCCCTGGTATTACTATTGGCCTTAGAGGAGGTGGCCTGTGGGACCCTACTGGGTCCTAAAGGTGTGGGCAAGAGAGCTATAGTGAATAGCCTGGCACAGGCCCTGGGCCGCCAGCTGGTCATACTGCCCTGCTCACCTCAGATAGAGACCCAGTGCCTGAGCAACTATCTGAATGGTGCCCTGCAGGGTGGTGCCTGGCTGCTGTTGGAGGCAGTTCATCAGCTGCCCCCTGGCTTGCTCTCTGCCCTGGGCCAGCGCCTGGCTGAACTGCACCACTTGTATGCCCCACTGTACCAGGAGGCTTCCCGAAACACAAGCACCATAGACCCCACCCAGCCCCCGCTCCTTGGCAGTGGCTTCTTTGAAAAACATCACGTATCTATGTGCCTTGGCTATGGCTGTCTCCTGGAACTGCGTGCCCTGAGCTCTGCTGTGCCTGCCAACCTGCACCTGCTGTTGCGGCCTGTGGCATTGGCATTGCCTGATCTGCGGCAAGTGGCAGAGCTGACCCTGCTGGGTGCAGGGATGCGGGATGCTTTCCGGATGGCTACCCGCCTATCCAAATTCTTCTCCCTAGAGCGTGAGCTGGTGTCTGGGCCCCTGCCCTGCCGCCTGCCACTGCTCAAGCAGATACTGAAAGACACAATACAGACACTAAATGTGACCAAGGAGGAACCAGAGTCTCATCAGCCTCGCAGCCTAGCTGCCATTGAGGAGGCTGCCCTACTGCATGCCCTACTGCGCTCACCGCTGTTTAGCATTCTCAATGGGCTCCACCTGCACAACCTCCGAGGGCTGCTATGTGTGCTTTTCCCTAGCGCCAGCCAAGTGCTGGCAGAACCTATGACTCACAAGCTGATGAAGCCACTGGTGGTGGAGGAACTGCAGCAGGTAGGTCTGCATCCCAGCCCTGACATTTTGGGGTCTCTGGAACAGTTGAGCCAGGCCCTGAGCCAGGCCTCAGGCATTCTGCTCCTGGGCCCTGCAGGCAGCGGCAAGACCACTTGTTGGCACAGCTTATTTAAGATCCAGAATCGGCTGGCAGCTGTGGAGGAGACCTCAACCCAAGGCTGCCAGCCTGTGGAAATTACTCATCTGTACCCCAGTGGCCTCAACCCCCAGGAGTTTCTGGGATGGCTAGAGGGCACCTGCTGGCATCATGGCATCTTCCCCAAGGTACTTCGTGCAGCCACTCAGTGTAAAAACATGGGCCAAAAGAGGCAGACAGATAAATCAATGGCGATCCAGCACTGGATAATATGTGATGGGGCCTCCAGTGCTGCTTGGCTAGACTCCATCACTTGCCTCTTGAGTGAGCGTCCCCAGCTTAGTCTCCCCAATGGACAGCAGATAGAACGACCCCCGAGCACCTTTCTCTTGATGGAGGTGACAGATGCAACAGGCATGTCCCCCACAGTGGTAGGCTGTTGTGCCCTAGTCTGGTGTGGTGGAGAGCAGACTTGGCAGTGTATACTTAGTGCCCTGATGGCATCCCTTCCCTCTGAGTACCGCCTGCAGCACCAGACAGTCACCGAGCTTAACCACCTGGCTGAAGTTCTAGTGCCTGCAACATTCCGATTTCTCACTGGCCAAGGTGTCAGCTCTCTGCTGCAGGTACACGGGCAGCAAGCTGTTTGCCCAGGTGTGGCAGAAGTTACCAGCATGGCACGCATTTTGCATAGTCTGCTTGACCTCCACCTGCATCTAGAGGAGAAGGCCCCTGGCACAGGTGGGAAGATGGAAGGGCTGGTTTGAGAGAGAAGGGGACTTACGGGTAGCTGGGGTATATAGCTGGCGCCTGGGGCATGTGTTCTTTGGTGGATCTGGGCCAGGAGTGAGAAGTAATAGAGTCATCATTTATTCTTTCTTTCTTTCACCTTCCACCTTTTTCTACTGGGGCTTCTATCATGGCCATGGCGACCTTTGCAGAGGACCTCAGCTGTAGTGATCCTGTGGCCCAAAGCTTCAGGTCTTCAAAAAGAATCTTTCTAAACCAGTCCCAAGTTGACAGTGATGATGTACCAAATAAGAGCAGGGAACACTTGCTGGCTGTCAGCAGTTTTCTTTTTGCTTTGATCTGGGGCTTTGGAGCCCACCTTCCCTCCAGGTACCTATAGGGATGGGGGATGGGAGATGCAGAGGGCTGAGATGGACTGGCCCATGGAAGTAAAAAAAACCCACATGACATCACTGTCAGGGTATGGTGGAGTGTGAGTGTGTCATAAATGGAAGTGTTGTACCCATCTGACGCTTTTGCCTGTGTGTCCATCTGAGCAGGTTCTGGCCTGTCTTTGATACCTTCATAAGGGATTCTATTAGTCGCCTCTCCAACTACCCTGAGCCGCCACCCTCAGCCTTGGTGTTTGATCTACATGTAAGCCCTGAAGATGGAACACTGGTCCCCTTCACTGGCCAATACCTGAGCAGCCACATCAAAGGAACTCTGGGCACCTTTCACCCTTCTATCCAGGTGTGAGGACAATAAGGCAAGATCTAGGGTTAGAACTTCAGTACTTATCTAGGGATAATCCATGTTTGAAGATCAGCTGAGGCCCGCCTGTTCCCTTTCTTCGATATAGTTTCACAATCACAAGAATACATGAAATGTTCTCCAAGCACAGCTCTAAGACAAGTCCCCTAGACCTTTACTTTCAGCTAGATTGCTGTCTTATACTGGAGGTGCTCAGTAAGTCCCACTTCTGTCCTGCAGAGTGAACGGCTCTTGTATGTGGTGGACCTGCTTCTGTCAGGGGGACGGCCAGTGCTGCTGGCTGGAGAGGCAGCAACAGGGAAGTCAGCCTTTGTGGAAGTGCTAGTGGAGCCATACCACCCTTACATATACAGCCCCATCCACCCTGCCTTCAGTTCTACCCACCTCCGTCTCCTGCTGAGCAGAGGAATCCAGGGCCAAAATCAAGCCAGCCCACAGCCTGGGCAGCACCAGGATTCTAAAGCCTCCCTTCTCTTCTCGCTGGAAGATCTGCACCTGGCCACTTCTGGTAAGGAGCTGGGAGGAGGGAAGGAAGGAGCTACTATCATCTCTTGAGACTATAAAATCCCTAGCAACATTCATTGACTCTCAAATATATGTCTATAGATCTAGTGTTCTGTTCTTAATATCTTCTCATTCTGCCTATGCTCCCTGGATAATCCCATCCACTCTCATGGCCTCATCTCTGCTTTGACTGCTAAATCTCTGTCTCCAACCTTGCTTCTCTTCTAAGCACCAGATCTGTCTATCCAGCTGTCTACATCTCCACCTTGTTGTCCTGTTGGTATCTCAAACCCAACCCTGGGCTCATCATCTCCCCCTGGCCAAAATCTGCTCCTGTGTATCCTCTTAGTTTCACCATCCAACCAGTCCTGTAAACCAGAAATCTTGTTGACATCTCTTTCTCCTTCACCAATATCCAGTCATTGTGTCTTTCAATCCTACTTCCTACATATTTCTTGAATATTTCCACTTCCATGGTTCAGATGATCATTACTTGGAACTCTGACAAATGCTCTTACAAAGCTTTCTGTGATGAGGCTTTCTTCTGTGGCCTTTTACATTCTGCTTAATTGGACTCAACAAGTCAGGCTTCCTCTAGACCCGGTGTTGCTGTCCTCTCGGCCTTCTCTATGTGGCTAAATCCTACTTATTCTTTCTAAATTACCTAAAGCAGTAACTTCTCCAGGAACCCTTAGCCCTAGGCTAGGTTAGCTATCCATCCTGTGCTCTGTACATGACTTGTGATAATCATGATTTCATGATTGTATGCTTGTCTGTCCCTTTTGTCACTTGGAGATTTATGAGAACAGAGAACAGAAATTTGTCTCATTCATTTTGATATACCCAACAGGAAGTAAGTGCTCAATAAAAGTTTGTAGAAGACAGCCAGGCGCGGAGGCTCACGCCTGTAATCCCAGCACATTGGGAGGCTGAGGCATGTGGATCACCTGAGGTCAGGAATTCAAGACCAGCCTGGCCAACATGGTGAAACCCTGCCTCTACTAAAAATACAAAAATTAGCTGGGCATGGTGGTGTGTGCCCCAGCTACTCAGGAGGCTGAGGCAGCAGAATGGCTTGAACCTGGGAGGTGGAGGTTGTAGTGAGCGAAGATCACACAACCTTACTCCAGCTTGAGCAACAAAGTGAGACTTAATCTAAAAAAAAAAAAAAAAAGTTTGTAGAAGACCAGATAGAAAAAATTGTGATGAAAGTTTGGGAGACTGAAGTGTAAAGTTCCTAAAGTGGTATGTCTTCCATATATAGAAGATGGTAGCTTCTAAATATGGTCATGGGATTGGGTTGAAGTGAATTATACGTAGAGGTTGTTGGAAGTCAAGGAAGTCAATGGGCTAAAGCAGTGGATAGGTTATCCAGTTAAACAGCAAAGTCCCTTATGAGATGTAGAAAACTTGAACCAGATGTATTAGTACTTAATAATAGCCAGAACAAATTATTGAATATCTACTATGTGCTACATGCTTTATGTATGTCATCTTCAGTGCTCATAAAAGCCAAGTAAGATGGAGAATTTTGACAATTAAAGATGAAGAAACAGAGACAGAGATTTTATAACTTGCGCAAGATACAACCAATATTAAAATTCAAGTCTATTTGGCTCTAAAATCTGTAGTTCCTTCCAGCTATATTATTTGGCCTTTGCAGTGAATTTGCACAAAATTAGAGACAATAGAAGGATACAGTGGTACAGTTAGATCTGTGAGGAGATTTCAGCTGAGAAGAGATTTCAGCAGAGGGATTGAGAACACTGTAAGCAACATTGTAGAGTGAAGAATGTTACTGCTGGCAGAATGTAAAAGGTGTCCTTGAGTGACAACCACCAAAACATCCAGTATAAAATAAAAAATGAATAGACACACCAAAAAATACATCAGTAAATAATATGACCTGATGTTAAGAAGAAGCAAGCAATAGAGTAGAAACTGATCCTGAGATGGTCTAGAGCAGCAGTCCTCAACCTTTTTGGCACCAGGGACTAGTTTTGTGGAAGGCAATTTTCACGGATGGGAGATGGTTTCAGAGTGAAACTGTTCTAACTCAGATCATCAGGCATTAGTTAGATTCTCATAAGGAGCATGGAATGTAGATTCCTTCCATGCACAGTTCACAGTGGGGTTTATGCTCCTATAAGAATCTAATGCCACCACTAATCTGACAGGAGGCAGAGCTCAGGCAGTAATGCTAACTTGCCTGCCACACTAACCTCTTGCACTGTGGCCCAGTTCCTCACAGGCCACAGGCTGATACTTGTCCATGGGCTGGGGGTTGGCGACCCCTGGTCTAGAAGTTTAGTTAATACTTTAGAGCAGCTCTTTTAAAAGTATTCAATTGCTAAAGAAAAATATGATCTTAATGCATGAACAGATAGGGAATCTCAGCAGAGAAATGGAACCTACTAAAAGAACAACATGGATATTTTAGAACTAGAATATGTAATATCTGAAATGCAAAATTTCCTGGATGAGTGTCTTAGTTCATTTTCTGTTGCTTATAACAGAGTACTTGAAACAGGGTAATTTATTTTTTTAAAAATTTATTTTCTACAGTTATGGAGACTGAGAAGTCCACGGTCAAGGGGCCACTTCTAATGAGGGCCTTCTTGCTGGTGGCAAGTCTCTGCAGAATCCCAAGACGGTACAGGGCATCACATGGCAAGAGGGCTGACCATGCTAGCTTAGGTCATCCTTTCTCTTCTTATAAAGCCACCAGCCTTACTCTCATGACAACTTATTAATCCATTAACTCCTTAATCCTTGAATAGATTAGTCCATTTATCAGGGCAGAGTCCCCATGACCCAGTCACCTCTTTAAGGCTCCATCTTTCAATACTGCCACATGGGGGATTTAATTCCAACATGAGTTTTGGAAGGGACAAATACTCAAATCATAGCAGTGGGTTTAACAGCTGATTGGAGATGATAGAAAAAAGCATCAGTGGACCCTGAAGAATATAAAAATATTGAATAGAAATACAGCTTCAGCCTAACACTTATAGAATTGGAGTTCCAGAAGAAAAGGAGAGTAAGAATAGGGTATAAAATTGTTCAAGGAAATAGTCACCAACATTTCCCCAAATTTCTTGAAAAATACTGACTTTCATATATAAAAAGCTCAGTTATTTCAAAGTAGAATAATAAAAAGAAAGCTACATCTAGGCCTATCATACTCAAACTGCTGAAAACCAAACAGAAAAACTATGAAAGTGGTCGGTGGGGGAGAAAAAGACATAGTATACACAGAAACAACATTAAGAATGATGATTAACTTCTCGTTAGAAACAGTAGAGTCCAGATAATGGTGGGAAAAATCTTTAATTTACTAAAAGAAAAAAAAAAAGTCAATCTAGAATTCTCTATCTGGCAAAGATTCTCTTCATAAATGAAGGGGAAATTAAGTTATTTCAGACACATGAAAGCTGAGAAAATTAATTGCTGATAGAACAATACTACAAGAAATGCCAAAAGATCTTCTTTGGGCAGAAGGGAAATAATGGCAGATGGAAACTCAGATCTTTAAAAAGAATGAAGAGCATCAGAAATGGTAAATATGTGGATGCATAAAAATGGTTATCTGCCCTGATTTTCTTAAAAGCCATCTGATAGTTATAAAATAAACATTGTTAATGGGGTTGGTAATGAGTAGAAGTAAAGAGTCAATAACTACAACAGTAAAAGGATGGGTTGAGGAGAAGCAAGTAAATTGAATTATCCTATTGCAAGGTTCTTACATTTGTGAAACAGGAAGTATGAAATGTGAAGTAGGAAGGATGAAATAGGAAGTAGGGAAGGTGTCAGTTATGAAGTGTAAAGTGGTACAATATTACTTGTAATATTGGTTAAGGAGGCATATTATTAGCCCTATAAAAATCACTAAATAATAACAGAGCATAGCTGAAGGACACGTTGGCTTCTGCCCATCATCCCAGCACTTTGGGAGTTCAAGGTAAGCTAATTGCTTGAGCTCAGAAGTTCGAGTCCAGCCTGGGCAAGACAGCAAAACCTCTTCTCTACAAAAAGTGCAAAAATTATAGCTGGGTGTGGTGGCATGCACCTGTAGTCCCAGCTACTTTGGGTGCTGAGGTGGGAGGATCACTTGAGCCTGACAGGTCGAGGCTGCAGTGAACTCTGTTTGAACCACTGCACTTTAGACTGGGCTACAGAGTGAGATCCTGTCTCAAAGAAGAAGGAAAAGTATAGCTAAGGAGCCAATAAATACAATGAGGTACTTAAAATATTTAAATTGTGCAAAAGGAAGCAAGAAAGGAGCAACACAGGAATAAAAAGAAGAGCTGTAATGGATGATTGGATGCCGGAAAAAAAAGAGCCAAATAGAAAACAAATAACAAAAATGACCATATAATCGATAATTACATTAAATGTAAATGGACTAAGCATTCCAAATAAAAGGCCAACATTATCAGACTAGAGTAGATCTAGCTATATGTTGTCCAAAAGATGCACTTTAAATATAAAAACACAGATTAAAAGCAGTTTTTTAAGGCAAAATATTTACTATAGAAATAGTTTGTATAAGGAAGTTGGTGTGGCAATATTAATACCAAAGCACTTTAAGACAAAGGGTATTACTAGAGATAGAAAATGACATCTCAAAATTAAAAGATTCAACTCATCAGAAAGACAAAAGTCTTAAATGGGTTCACACCTAAAATAGACATTTATGTATATGGGAAAAAAAAACAATAGAAACAAAGGAGAAATAGTAAATCTGAAGTCATAGTAAGAAAGTAATATGCTTCTCACAATAACTGATAAGACAAGGAGCAAGAAAGTATGGACATTAAAGATCTAAATAACACTAGCAACATACTGACATTTACAGAACATTACACTGACCAACTGCAAAATGCACCTTTTCAAATGCACATGGGACATTCACCAAGATAGACCATATGCTGGGTTATAAAATAAGGCTCAATGAATTTCAAAGGATTAACATTTTAAA